ATTTTCATTGCACTGATTTACTTCCACATGTTAAAATGTGAAGTGAATAACACTTTATACATTTCAAAAAGCTTTCTACTTACTATCACATGTTTTTATGTAAAAGAGGAAAAGAACTTTAGGTTGTTAATTGTTAACGTGATTACATGAGATAATGCTAAATCCATTAGTTAACATTAAAATTCCTTTCTGATTCAAATATTCAGGCTAATAGAGGATATAATCAAACTACTATTCCCTAGAAAGAGAGGCCACGGTTAATATAAAGACCATATACTTGATCTATGTCAAGTGGCAACACAGGTAATGCTTTGGATAGTCAGCATAAAACACTTTAATGGAATATTATTGCTCCAAATGTACCATACCAAAATTAAACTCAAAACATAAGAAGGGTACTAAATCATGTTTGACAGGGAGCCAAATGCCGCAAGTTAAAATGCATTCCTAATGCTCATCCAGTTCTGGCTGAACCCCTTGGGTCAGTTTGGGTCATTATTAGTTTGGAATAATTCCAAACGACTCTCTCAAGTTCTGTTGTTACATTCAGTGGCTTTAGGAATTCCAGAATAGGCCTCATATCACAAAACTCATAGGATCTCTAATCAGTTTCTGGCTTTGACTTGGAGTAATCTTTTCAAAAAGCAATTCTGATCAAGTTAATTTAGTTACTTTGTACATAAATGATAACCCTACAGAACTCAGGCACCAGAGACCTAAACTCAGTGTACCAATAGTCTGTCACACTGGTCTCATCTCTTCATTCTCTTGGTTCTTTAAAACATGTTAGTCATGTTCCTACCTTTCCCTCAGCCTCAAATCTTTTTTCTCCCTTTGTTTTGTTAATTCCTATTGCTCTTTCAGATAATTGTTTAATTCTTTATTGTCTGTCTCTCCCAGGCCTCTCTGCCACAGACATTTAGAATGGCAGCTTTATGACAGCAGGGGCCTTGATACATCCTTAGTATCAAGAATAGCACATGACCTAACACATGGGAGGCACTCAGTAATATATTTGAATATGTCCTCTAGAACGCAGAACAAATGTTACTTCCTTAAAGAAGGCTTCTTTGACTCCCTTATACATCAGCAACATCAATTTCATTCTCTCAAATCACCCTACACTTTTCTTGTGGGCCCCAGGCAATCTTCTAAAGTGAATTTCCAATAGACACTGGTACAAAGGCAGAAACACTAGAATTTCACAAAAGCATTTCTGAATCAAAGCCCTCAGCCTCTTTTTTTCCTTGCCATAGACAACTTATTAATTAATCCAGACATTCTCTCACACCTCTTGTCTTTTAGACAGATATCTAGGAGCAAACTGTCATGGGGTGGGAGATGGATATTTAACCTAAATCAAATTAGACTCAGGAACAAAGTAATTCAACCAATTCTTTCTAGCTCTCTCTGACACTTGTAACTACAGATGGCAAGACAACAGACATTTACTTTTCCATGGCTAGCCTGGTGAAGAACACCTTACCAAAAACGCATCTACAAGTGGTAACACAGTAATTCTTTGGATAGTCAACATAAAACACCTTAATAGAAATATCAAGGACTGAAAAACCTGATAAAATGATTTTAAGGCATATTTCCCTTATGAAGAATGCTGATTTATCTTGGCACACAATCAAATAACAAGCACAAAGTACCAAAGGCATTTCAAAGACAGAGACTAATAAACTACATTTATAAATATATCCATGCTCTTTTTTCCCCCAAGTAATATGATAGCTTCAGTGTTCTTGGGGAGTAGTGGTGAAGGCATTTATGTTCCTGGCTCTTTTAGGGAAGATGCATAATTTAGCAGTAATGTAACAATCCATGTATTATTATCCATTAGTAATGCCATTTAACTCTGTTTTGTAGCTCTCTGTGTTTTTAAATACCCTGGGTGAGGTTGTACTAATATTTTAAAAGTTAAAAAACAAACAAGTTAAAAGATCACATTTCTATTTCTGAAATTATTTTTCCATAAATCTATTTTTCAATCTTTATACTTCTACATAATGCAATGAAACAACGTTTTTTTAAAATTCCTTGCATTTTCAATGTTGACAAGAGTGATTCTGGCAAATATATATACACATATATATATTCAGTTTTCACAAAAATTAACAAAAACTTGAAAAATAAACAAAAGAGAATAGTAAGTACTTTTCAGTGCAGTGCTATCCTTGAACCTTCGGTTACTTTGTATTCACTGGGCTATTTTACAAACCTGTAAGATTAACTTACAGATTTTTGGCTGGTAGAGATGGAAATAATTTTTATCCAGTGGAAAAACTTATCCTTTTATGTTCTTTTAGGATATTAGCTAATTCTGTATCTAACCCAGCAATCTTAATATTACTTTATTAAATTGCCTATACCTACCTCCTCAAATTTTCAAATGAAGTGGCTTTAACATTGTACTAGTTCCCTCATTAAGTAATGAATTAAATCAAAATCACTGATACAAATTCATTTACATATGCATGAAAGTCATGATTTTACTTTTCTGAAAATTATATTTTAACAAAGTTTTGGAGGTTCCACCAAGATGCCCAAGTGTACTAACCTGACAGAGCTGAGTAAACTACATTGCTCCTTTCACAGACATAAATATTCCTTACAGCTCTGAGCTCAGAAATATCTCATTTACATAAACCAAAACCTCAAATTTAGTATTTTCAGTCTAAATGGTAAATACCTTTACAACAGGGCCTTGACTTTTTAAAATTTGTCTTTATATTCTTAGTGTCCAGCACAGTGACAAGTACCTAAAATGTGTTTAATAAACATTAAGTGACTGAAGGAAGGTAGAGTACACATGTTCATTGGAAGGAAAGAAATATTACAGCCAAACCTAGCAGTCTTTTGTAACTATCTGGTCAGCTGGAGGGGGAAGCCAAGTTCTAGATGCTCTGAATGTAAAAACAGAGCCTCCCCCAAAATGGCAGAAATTCTGATTATACAAAGATATGAGTGGCAGATAAATATCAGAATTTAAAACTTCCTGCAAAGAAAGAGTGGACCTCTAACTCCTTAAGAGTTACAAATCTTAGCAGACACTACAAGCCTAAAAGTTGCAATGCCCCAAATACCACAAAACTGGACATAATCCGAATTACTTTCGCTAAAAATTTTCCAAAAATATAAAAAACATTTTCTGTGGGAATGTATCTCAATTCTGTAATAACACTAACTTAATAAATTAACAGAAATTGCTTTTTTAAATTCACCTCAAAAGACCAAATTTTCTTAGATGTATTTATTTCATAAATAAAGGATATGCCAGAATTGTGGAATATGATAACACAGTGTCTACAAGGCACTTGAGTACTAGGAAAACAAGCACAACATATAAATGGAAAGTAACAGCACCAAAGCAATGAATTAGGACTGGAAAATAATCCTAGCTTTGTTTTTGGCCTAACCTGAAAAAGTAAATCTGTACCTGTTCGTGAAGGATTATTAGAGTCAAAGCTACCTACTGAATAAATTATGCAACCCATACTCAAATACTATTTGCTCCCAGACAGTTCTAATGGATATATACCTGCATCACACTGCCAACAATATAGACCTACCTGATAACTGCACTCACACTACTGTGCGGTCAAAGGGCTAATCACTATGTAAGCATTTCCCCCTTTACTTTTAATTCAAACCAGAGTTCATTATCACTACTCAGCACACTTTTCATTGCTTTCCCAGAATTGGACTGCACATGGAAGGAAGGTCAATTCAATTTAATACTTTAGCACCTGGAACACCAGTGAAATGATAACTGTTTAAGCTGCCTCTAGTCACCTCCACCAAGTTCTTTAAGAAGACATGACTTGGTATTTGCCCCAAGGAAAGCTCCTTACAAGAATTATGAAAATAATGGAAATCTGAAACGCTCAGTGCACGAAGAAAATGTGTTTACCTTTAAAATACACTACTTCTTTTCATTTATAGAAATTTAATGCATGAAGATTTATTTTTTAAGTGCAGTCTTTTAAATTAATCTTTTTCCCCTTTATTACTTTAAAATTTATTCTTGGTTACTTTGCGCAAAAAGCAGAAGGGACTAAGTTTGCATCATTGGCAAAAAGAGCCCCTACCAGCAGGCAGATAGCTAATCTTGTACCCATTTACAGTTTTTAAATTTGTCCTGACCTTGTAAAAGGATTTATTATAAAAATGATAGTATGGTTATCACCTAAATTACACAGAGGAAGACTGACACCATCTACAGGAGAGATGCACCTTAGCAATGCACCCGAACTTGAAAGACTGATTTGTATAACCTGCACCTTTTTTGTTCCTTAAAATGATTCCAAGTTCTAAATTGCACCCAGTGAAGAAAGTGACCAAATTTTATAAGGTAAATCTCTTGTAAATAGGTAAGACATCTTTTTGCAGGAAGCGGAGAGGCGCTTTACATTTACCTCAACAACTGTAAAATGAATACGAATATTATGAGTCACTGACATTTCACACATGTGAAACATCCATGTTACAAAAAAACCATTGCCTCATAAGTGAGTGGACACCCTTGACAAGCAAATTGCCTAGGGGGAACACTCCCAAAGAACTTAATTAAAAGTAATTACCCGGCCTGAAAATGTGCTTTTGTTTCAGAAACTGTCTAAATACCAGCGGGACTTTCTCCGGCCCGAATCCAGCCTGAGGACAACAAATTGGTCAACGGCGGAAGTTGCCTGACGAAATGACCGCAACATGAAATCCAATTTTATGATCATAACAAAACCTTCCTTCCGGGACCAGGCAAAAAAAAACTTGAGAAAACGTCCTTCTGGATGCAACAGGCAATTACGAGCACTCCCGTAGCCAGCCAAACGGCAACAGTTCGGCCCTGGGGACTCGCTACTGGGAGGACGAGCTGCTCCCCGTTAGAATCTCGGGGGGCCGCGGGCCGGGCACCCCGCCCGTCTGCCGCCCGCTCGCCGACGCCGCCCGGCACCTCCCTCGGTCCCCGCGGCCGCCCCGGCCCCAGCACTGACCTTCCGCAGGGCCGAGACCAGCAGTCCCCGCCATTTCGGACTGTTGTCTTCGCTGAAGAACTCGTAAGGCTGCGGCGCCTGCTGCATGGCCCCAGCGGCAGCGCCTCCGCATCGGGGGCGGCCCACGGGCCGAGCCGGGCCGGTGGCCTGACAGGCAGGGCGCGGGCCGCCTCGCCTCGCCGGCGGCCGCCGCCTCCCGCCCGGGCCGAGGCTACGGCCGAGGCGGCTCGGAGGCGGCGCCGGCGGGCGGGCGGGGGCCCCAGAGAAGGCTTCCTCGGCCGGGCGGCCCTCGCCCCGCGCAGCGCCGGGAGAGGAAGCGCGGCGGCCCGCGAGCTCGGACGACCTCCTTTCCCCGCGGCGCTGGCCCGCTGCTCGGGCGGCTCCGCCTCCTTTGTCTAGGTTCGCAGCCCGGCGGGGGTGCCGCTGGCCTGGCCCCCGCCCGACTCCCGCTACGGCCGCGGCGGGCGGTGAGCGGCGGCGGCTGCTCGTCTCCTCATCGCCTCATCCCCGCCCTCCCAGCCGACACCGCCGCCCGGCCCGGCCCGGCCGAGTCACCTCCAGAGGGCCCTGGGGGCCGACCGGGCGTGCGCGTCGGGAGAGCCAGCCCCACTCTGGCGCGCACGGTGCCGGCCACCGCCGCCGCCCCTTCAGCAGCCGAGCTGAGCGCCCCGGGGCCGCCGCCGAGCGCCGGGTCCCAGCAGTGGCGGCTTGGCCCGCCCCCTCGGCCCAGCGCTCATTATCCCGAGTCGCCGGAGAAGTCCTGCACGGAGCATGCGCGCCGCAGAGCGGGCAGAGGCGCCAGCCAGGCGCTGGGGTGCGGGGGCCCGGGGTCAGGGGGGAGAGGAGTCCACCTCTCCCGGGGACTTTGCAGGGGGCCTGTTCCAGAGAGACTCTCCAATTTATGCATATGCTCCCCTCTCTTGACCTTCCTAAGGCAATCCTGACTCCGTGCCACTCTTGGCGCGCCTGAGTCCCAGGACTGCAGTCGTGCGTGGCAGTACAGGGATTTGGAGAGAATACGGGCATTCAGGCTGGACACAGTATTTAACGTATTTGTGCTCTACTTGGCTTCTTTGTTTATATATGCACTCTATGTGTATACAAAGTGTATACTATATGTAGCATATAGTTACTATATAGGAGATAGTAACTGTTTCATAGGGTGGTGGTGTGGGCACCGAAGCATGGAAAGCACACGGTGGTAGGGCCAGAAGAGGCAGAAGACAATGATGTTGATCAAGCTTGAACTTAAAGATCTTTGACTTGCACGAACCCGTGTGTTTACAGAATCATAACGTTTTTGTAAAACTTTCAAAAGATATTTTCTTTATCATGTCTCCAAATTGTGCAGGCTTCGGGTACTGCAAAACCTGGATCCACCCCTGGGATGCACTTACACTCCATTAGCAACCCAGAAAAGATCTACTGACCTTAAGCTTTTCTGAATTAAAGAGGCATAGACTTTGGAAACTACATCATTACCACAGATTTATCCCTCTAAAGATGCTGAGCACATGATTTTTAACAGGCTGTAAAAAAGAGAGTCATTTACTCCCTGACCTCAGCCACCAGCAGTGAGGAAGGGAAAGGAAGAACAGAGTGCAAAAAATAACTCAGTGCTACAATTCAGTTCCAGGATCAGTAGCTAAACAATTATTCTCCCCAAATCATGCACCATTTTGTCATTTTGGCAAAATCAGTAAGGCAAAGTTGGAAAACTTAAGAGATCATTTTTCTAATCCAAGTATCCACTAAGGCAAGAATGTCCTCTAATAAATGGCCACATCCATTCCCATGTACTTGGGATAAAAGGTAGGACAGTAAAACCCTTGTATTTCTCCAATTAATTTTTCAGTCTGTGAGCGCAAAGACTTTGGCTTATATAGAGAGTCCTTATTTTCTCTCCTATTCCCAGACCCCAGCTATAAACTACTAGAATGTCAGACTACTAGGCTGTGCTGTATTTTCTCATAGGAGAGTAAAGTTGTTAGTGAGAAGTTTCATTCTTGGCCAAGGATATTGGAAAGCTTTTCTGGGCCACATCTGGCCTGACAACACATTTTGTTTAGCTAAGGCTGTACTTAAAATTTTTAAATTGTTAACATTTTAAAATCAAGAGGTTTCATATAAAAATCTGTATTTCCATCTTCACTTGACAAAGATCTGGCAACACTGGGCCCTACTGCATTCGGGCAAGGGAATAATCAGCAGACACTGGGTAGTGGCTGCCCTGTTTAGAAAAGTATGCTGTCCCATTTCCAGTTGGCTATACTCTCCACCTGGCACTCTTCACCCTTTTATGTAACCTGCCTAGTCTCTACAGGCATCTGAGTTGTGATCTCTGGGCTAGGCAAACAGAAATTTGATCCACGTGCATGTGGAAAATAATCCAAGAATGACAGTAGTGAAAAGTTTCCCAACCAGACAAATGGGCCATCTAGAAAAAAATGTTGGATCTATATCCTGCACTCTATACTCAGATAAACTCCAGATATGTCAGAGATTTCAATGTAAAATATAAAACGAGAAAATAATTTGTTTATAACCTCAGAGTGCAAAGGACCTTTTCACTATTACACAAAATCTAGAAAATTGATAAATTTGATTTTTAAAAATGTATGGCAAAAAATATCACCTCCAGATAAGCCTAAAGGCAAATGACAAACTGGAAAATATATCTGCAACTCATTTTCGAAGTTACTTTCCCTAACATATAGAAAAGCTCCTACAAATTAATAAGACTAAAACTGAAAAAGGAAAAAATATAAAAGGGAGTTCACAGAAAAAAAGATAAATGTTTCTTAAACATATTGAAGATGCTCAACTTCACTCATTTTTAAAAATGTAAATTTAGTTATACTGAGTTATCACTTTTCCACCTATTAAAATATTAATAGCATAGACCAAAAAGTTTGATTACACACTATGATGGTGAAGATATGAGGAAAGAGGCATTCTAATATATTATTGATGGGAGTATAAATTGTTTCAACTTTTGTCAAGGGCAACTAGATGATATCTATACCAGTTTCAAAGGTACATACCCTTTGACCTAGAAAATTCTAGGAATATTTCCTGTAGGTATACTTGCTCATATGTAGAATTACTTAGAGACAAGGTTATTCTTTGCAGTGTTGTTTGTTATAGCAAAAACAAAACAAAAAACCCTCTAGAAATAAACAATTTAAATAATCATCAGTTGGAATTGGGGACTGGTTCAATAAAAAATAGTAAATCCATACAGTGAAACCTATAAAGTTATTTAAGAATAACCAGGCCTTTGTGAATGTCCTCCAATATATAATGCAAATTGAAAAGAGAAAGATACATAGTATAATATTGTAGAGTGTGGTACCACTTGTATATAAAAAAGGCAGTATTTTATTATGTAAGTATATAGTATTTTATTACATAAGTATTTTATTAAATAAATACAGTTTCTCTGCAAAGCTACAGAGATTTTTGTTGCCACAAAGATCAAAAACTAAGTGGCTGGGTAAGAGAGGGAGACTTTTCACCATGTACCTTTCTATGACTTTTGAATTTTCAGTCATATGAATATGATACTCATTAAAAACATTGATTAATTAAAAAGGGCACCATTTTTTGTTGTGTGTTTGTTCTGAGACAGGATCTCACTCTGTCACCCAGGCTAGAGTGGTGCAGTGGCACAATCATAGCTCACTGCAACCTCAAACTCCTGGGCTGAAGGGATCCTGGCTCAGCCTCCCCAGTAGCTAGGACTACAGGTGCAAACCGCCATACCTGGCTCGTTTTTATTTTTTGTAGAGATGGGGTCTTGATATATTGCCCAGGCTGGTCTTGAACCCCTGGCTTCAAATGATCCTCCCATCTCAGCCTACCAAAGTGCTAGGATTACAGGCATAAGCCACTGTGGGCAGCCTAAAAGATATTTTTTTAAAGGAAAAATTTCCAGCCTGATTATAAACATTTGCTTCAAGTGTTAAAAAATGAAAATATTAAACACACTGATACTATAAGAAGGAGGCCTATGTATATATAACAAAAAGCTTAATCATAAATTTGAACTGAAATTAACATGCTAATTATCATAATAATTTGATAGTAATTTTGCTTGTTGCTTTTGAATTTAGAAAGGCTTTTGGGAGATAATTTTAATAACCCAAGCACATTTTAAGTCTTAAAAGGCAGTTAAAACTTTACCACTAATATTCTCCCACTGAAAAACATTTTCAAGAAGGACTTACTCAACATTTCTCCCATTTACTCTCTCATACTTCCTCAATTTATTTAAAGCTACAAGTGCTGCCAATCAGTAGCAAACCAAAGCAATGCCACAGCTAACTCTAGTCCTCTTACGGTCCACCTGCCTGAAAGAAGTTAGAGAAGGCACTCAGACAGACATCCTTTTATGGGTGGCTCATAACCAGAAGCCCAACCCCCTGCAAGAGACAGCATACCAAAAATGTCATCCCAAGAGAAACTATAATTTTGTATGAAATTCCAAAAGATTGATTTATTGTGCCCCCCACTAAAAAAAAAAAAAAAACACTGTGTGTTTATGTGCTACATATGTATGTTTATATGCTACATACAGTCTGCTATTGAACAGACATAATATTTCCTGGTGCTCTGGGGTATGAAGATGACACTGAGGTCATCCAGATACTGCCACCACTACCTGATGGAAAATGGTTTTTTGTGAGGAAGTAGCTGTTCCAGACACCAACTCTTACAATAAAGGTGAAAGGAAAAGGCATCATTCAAGTTCTTGTTATTTATGGAATAGCAATAAAATCCTTCCATGTTCTGACAGTTATAAAGTTCTGTCAACAACGAATGTATTTATAATCTTTTCAGTGCAGCTCCCAGCCAGGGGTGTGTTTGTCTGCAATCATCTGTGTGTATTGATCCTGATCACAGAATAGGGAACTTGGTAAGGAGAAAAGAAATAAGACAGATACGGACCTGTTTGCCCCAAAGTGTTAACAATTATAGTAATTTGCCTAAGGTGTTTATTATTTGTGCCTAATTACTAGGTGTGATGGATATAGTATATAGCAGGCAACATACATTCTACCCTCCTACTAACTCAGAGATTGGAAAGCTAAAAGCCATATTTCCTAGATT